CTGAACGAGTGTCTGGCCAGCGGTTAGTTATGTTAATTTTCGCAACGTTGACGGGTTATTTGTACAAAATATGATTAAATTTAAAACTAAACAGAAATCGTATCGTACCCGATGAAAACAACATGTAAATTATTGATCTTTGCATTCGAGTACGAATGTGTGACGATATGTACGATGCATAGCCCGTAAGCACATAATATTATTAATATACGCTGTATTGAGTACGTACATTGGCAATAAAATGTCGGTAGCAAATCCAGTAACTTGTTGCTCAACGCAATACACCTGTATTGATAAATGAATTATAACAATTATTATGCACGTCGAGACGAGGTCGATGATAAAAAATATTTTTTTATGAGGGGAGGCGAGTCGTAAACATACAGATTTGCCGACTACTTTCTAAAACGAAATTCTACAGTTCTAATATTACTTGATTTGTTGATGATCGCCGACTACCAGGGATAGAACTAGGGGGGTGGAAGACGGAAATTCATCCCCGGGCGTAAAATTTTAGAGGATGTAATTTTTGTAATTATTAATAACTAATTCGATATTTTTAACGTTGTTAAATACTGTTAGTAGGTTAAAACTCAATAAGTATGATTGAGTATATTAATTTTTAGACGAAAAATTCTCGAGAAGAGTATTCGATTATTGGTCCATGATAGGGCGTAATTTCAACATTTTCCCTGGGCGTGAAAATTCCTAGTTACACTTCTGCTGACTACACAAATAAGCCATTCGTAGGCGGTGAAGTGGTGGTCACGCACCCCTCCCATTAACGGCGCGTCTTGCATGAGAAACCACGAACTATCATTCATAAACAATAAAACACACCTCACACGTGGTCCGTCAATTATTTATTATGCATAATCATCAGCTTGTCCGTCCGCGACCGCATGCGTATTGCGTAGGTTTCGTGTTAAATAATAATACCAATAATCGTAATAATAATAACGCTATAATATCATAACAAACGTATGGACGTGTAATGAGTTTGACGTTGAAGTGTCGCTACTTATAACACGCTGCCACGGATAATGATTTTACGTTCAATGACAAATCAATTAACCGAACTACGACGTTTCAATGTCAACCGTCAAAGTTCCAATAATGAACACGGCTAAAGTGGTGATGATTGTGGTGCGGTCGGGTACTTAAAAACTACTTCGTTTCGAACATCACTCTCACACGAGATGAGTTTCTGGATTTCGATTCAAACACATGCACTTGATGTATAACGTCACTTGCGTATATTAACCGTTAATCGTGAGTGTGTGCGATGAAAAAAAAAAAAAAATCGAACCGATTCCGTTAATGTTGTCCAACTTTTTTTTATCGTTTAGTTAAACTACATAACAATATTCGTTCTGCACAATATGACGTTATAATAGATTATATTACGACGGTAAAAAAATAAAGAAAAGTGCATTATGCATTACGAATGCGAGTCATTCGAAAACCGTCTGAACGACCGACTGCATAAATTTCACTGCAAGTATTTTTATTTTATTTTTTTGCTCGCGTGAAATTAGATTTTCACCGAAAACGTATTTACAACTGTAAATTATCCGTATTAAGTCGAATGAAAGCGAAGGTTTTAAATAATACGTTATACTGACTGACCTACATGGTGCACGTACACTATAAAGCGTCCGTTACTAAAACACGTACTAGTGAAACATCGTACCATATAAACGATCCATATCGCCGTATTACTGATAGATATATTATATGTTATAAGATTTATTATAAACATACGACTAGAAAAAATCGTACACGTTTTCGATTATACGAGAAAGGCATTACGAAATTAGATAGCTTTAAAAATAACATCGTTGATAAAATAGCACATAAATAAAAATACCGAAAATGAGCTAATATGTTCAATATATATATATATATATATATATATAAATATAAATATCAGTTTATTACAATTTTCACAATCTTGATGTTGATGTAAATATCTCGTTTGGTACATTTAAAATTTTTTAAGAATAATATAAACTTTAAAGCAAATATTGTGTTCATCGGTTATTATGGTTGATATTATGAATCGATTTTTATATTTTCTGAAAAGTTACTGATTTTAAAGCACGTAAATTTAGGGAACACCATATCGTCGATATATATACATACGGGTGTAACATAAGTTCAGATTATAATATTTTTCAAATCATCCCATTTCTGAATATAAAGTGCTTATAAAATATATTTATAGTGATTTCGATTTAAGTTTTACTTTGTGCGATTCTTATTACATCCTTAACGTTAATACGTACATCGGCAAATGAGAATTGAAATTTAATCGAATACCTTACGCGTAATATTTTTAACAGTCTACACTATTTATTTTCTCTAGACTGTAGATTCTACCGTATACATTGATTTACATTAAGTGTTGCTAACCAATTAGTCATACTTCGTTTCGGTGCATTTTACTTTATGTATATATTATGCTGTACCTATACATAAAAAAAAATAAAACAGAAACTCAACTTTTGCCAACACGAACGGAACAATCTTAATCGTTTTAAAAAACTAAAACCAGACTAGGGGTGGAACCTGCAATACAGGTATTATTTTTTAATAATCGATAATCGAACCATCGTCTTTGCATATACTGAACGTAAAACGTATTTATATAAATAACATGTAATGAAAATAAAATATATTTATAGCACATATGACGAATGGCATCTGACCAACCGAAACGCGATTAGGCGAGGATATATGCTATACGCGTGTCTTCGAACCAATAGTGCCTTTATAAAATGCGAAGAATCCCGTATCGTTTCAGAACAATATTATTACCATTGAAATCAGATTTCCTTATAACATACCTGCAGGAAAACTGTTTTGGAAACGTTTACGTGAAAACATTTACCCTTAATATCGTTTACCTAAAAATGTGTTACTCGCCCGGTGATCGAAAAAACCTTCTAAGGACCAATACGCAATATTGTAATTTTTATTAATCGTCGTATACACCGCACCGGTGCAAATGCAGTGCTATGTAAAACTATTTATACAAACCGAAATAGAATACAAAAACCGGACGATAGCTAATCGGTGGTGAATTGCACGACACATCAATCGTTATTGGTGCGAGTGTAGTGGTAACAGAGCCGTAGCAAGGGGTGGCGAGAGGTGCCTTCGCACCAGGCGCGATTCCTGGGAGAGTGCAAAAATGAAAATTTTGCATTTAATGTTAAAAATTAAAACGGTCAATATCGTATATTTTGTTTACAAAATCTTCAACATCTTTCATATTAATTTAAGAAATCATTGAAAATAATACCTAATAAATATAATATTTTTAAATTAAAAATACATAAGTGAACATTTTGAAGTTTCGCCCCGGGCGCAATGTTTGGTTGCTGTGGCAATGGGTGGTAGATATAAACGGATTACATTTTTAAACAGCATGTGCTGCACCAGAAGCGGAGACGGCTTCGAAATATCTTCTACTCGGGGCACCGTATTGGTAAAAAAAAAAAAAAAATTTGCGTGAAAATTCACAAACTTTAACACTGAAGCTTTTAGACGAATTTCGGTATAAAATTTAATTCATGAACAGTAATTTCGTTCGTGAGTTGACGAACAGACGGTAGATATGAGTACAGACACAATAATTACATAAACTTTTTTCCACGGTGTGATGACGGAAGTTTTTTTAATGTATTTCGCGACTTTTGGATGGTATTATTACATCCTATTTCAGAACCGTCAACGACGTCGACTGGAAAACATCAAACCACCTATATATTTGAGCCATCGCATTAGTGTTGAATATCATTCGTACTCGACGGAAACGCCATAGGTCACAGTATTTGGATTTCGGTGTTGCGTTTGACATGCGAACGTATCCCTGGGCCAAGATTAGTTTATGTATTCGAGTTCTGAACTCTGTTTTAGTTGGGCAATACACGCTGTATACAAGCGCTGTGAACAACACGAGGACATTGGACATATTTATACAGTACATACGAGTGTGGCTACGTGAGATCTATTTGATCGCGACAAGTGCAACTGAAAGAGTTGCTTCGGGTCAAAAATTTCTCGCTTTGTTCACGGTGATATTTGTGCAGTACATGAACTCGAACGTACATACGTCGTGTGTAGTTATGCGTACGATATAGTCCATGTCGCATTTGAAAATATAAAAACACAATTTTTATAAATTATTATTTATAATTATTACAGTTCTAAGACTCAAATGGGTCTGTTGAAGCGTTTTCATCTTTGTCAGGAGTGCTTTTTCTTATTCTGAATACACTTTTTTGGATAGTAAATGCACAACAAGTATTCCACGTGATAAGTACGTGATGCGGTACAGGGAATCTGACGCAAAAAGTTTCTTTAAACGGGTCATTTTTTGGTTTTAAAATTAGTTCTCGTGATCGATCATACGAATATAATACTTAGAAATAACGTCCACTATTTGAATATATTTTGATGAAACGAGAAGTTTTATGATTCACGACTTCAAATTTTCTGGAACATTACTCCATTTAATCCATTTTTAAAAATCAGAAGATTCGATAAGACAATTAGTTTTATTAATTAAGTTTTTAAACTTTAAAATACCATATATGTTTTTGATTTTTGTAGAAGACTTTATATTTTATAATCAAAATTTACTTCATTGGATGACAGTGAATATAATCTCAAAAGATAAAAGGTCTAAAAAGTCGCAGAATGAGATTTAACATCATTTCAATATTATTTTTGTCAGTAACTTATGAAAATGGTTCGGGACTTACTTCACACAAAGTGTAGGAAATATGCATACACATATGCACTTAAAATAACTGAAATATGTGCAAAAATATACAACTGAATTTCTTTACAATAGCAATAACATATTTTTTTTATTTAGTTATTTTTTGAAAACAATAATTCTATAAGTCTAAAACCATAATATTACCCCCTATAATCTAATTCATTTTTTTCGTTTTTTCTCAATTAAAATGAAAAAAAAGGTTTAGTATAAACTCCGGTTTCCTTTCATTGTGAATAAATCATTCGCCTTTTACTAAAGATTTCCGTGGATGGGAGCAATTCAAGGAGTCCGATTTTTAAGTTTTAATAGGTAATATAAAACTTTTTTAAAAAAATGTTAACCTTAAGAATAAATTGTCTACGTAAAACATAAAAATTAGTAAATATGTTGAAAATAACAATTAAATAGCAAAAACCATGCATTTACCCCTAAAAAAACTGCAAAATATGCATAAATATGCGATTCAGTTGTTCGCATTTCATTCCGTTCAGTCTCGAAACAAATCGATATCTTATCCAGATCATTTTACAGTCATTATTAATGAATATGCAAACACAACGTAAGTCCTGCTCATGAATAATGAAAACAAAAACTAATTGAAACATTAAAATACTAGCAATCCATAAAGTGTATCTATCGACTATTCTTTGGTTCATCGTGCACAGTTTTCGGATTCGATAGATGCCTCGTTTCTCAGCGAACGAAAATCCGCTACGTGGTCGGTTGGTGGGTGGGGGAAGCGAAGCGGTCGTACCGCGCCCAGGTGTTTTGCCCTCGCAGCGCCTTCAACTGCTCGTCTACCACCGTTACGACAGTCGCGCACGGCGCAAGTGTTCCCGAAAAATAATAAGGGGCAGTACGAAAACGTTCGGTCGAGATGTGAAGTTTCCTAATTCCGCGTTTCGTTTGAAATAAAAAATAAATAACAGAACAGTCAACCGCCTTAGGGCCTCATGTTACGGCGACGCATAGTTACGCGCGCGGCCCACCGCGGACGTTTGTCGGTAACGCACCTGGCGCGGTCGAACCGATGCCAATACCGAATTTTTATTGTTTCCCCCGATACCGGCAGATCGTAAATAATAAAATAACGAGGCACGACAACGGGGTTTGTTTGAAACAATATACAAACGCGACGCGCCGTCCGACTTGGGCTACGGCCACATTTAGTTTTAGTTTCCGTCGTTTCCAATCCGATCCGACTCGATCCGACGATCCGACTAATCGGAAGAAAAACAAAACCACCGTGTATGTTATAGGCAGCGGCTACGTTTGTCCGTTTCGTCCGTTTCCGACGCATTGACTAGTCGGACACGTCGGTTCCAAAACAAATTTATTTGTTTTTCGATTGTCGGATCGGAAACGGGTCCAATGTACCCGTCCGACTTACTGATCTACATGTGCGCGGCATCAGTGGCGTATACATAAATTTATTGGGGGATGAGATCATTTGCAAAAAAATCATTTTTTTTTTTTTTACGTTTTTATCGCCCTCGCACTAAGAACATTATTTTATAACATTTAAAAAAGCCTAGGGGGGTTCCAACCCCCACATGCCCTCACTGTACACTTCGCGGCACCGTTTTACGGGACGCGCGAGATATTGACTTTTTTCTTTTATTTTTTTTTACCATCGCTGCAAGCACGTTCGGAACAGTGCAGTGCAATCGCAACATTAGGTCGACGAGTTGCGAACGAACGCGCACGTAACGATTAGGGTTTTAAATTTGAATTTTGAATTTCGAAATCGAAAACTTCACTCTTCTTGAAATATTTCACAATTGAAAAATATTTTTTCTTCTTCTAAACGTGTTCGTCTATTAATGATTAGGTAAATAATGCATTGATTACACACGGAAAATATTTCCTATGTTAATTTTTCAAACATTTATTTTTTATATTTGTTTCTCGTTATCATTATATCAAATTCTCCTAGTGCATATTTAAAATCGGTCTAAAATAAATATCAAAATCTAATACATCCAATAATAAATTACGGCTATTCTTAACAATTTCAATAAACAAAACGAAGAGTCGTTTAATGTTTTATATTGCTGCGTTCGTTATAAATACGACTAGAAATAATAAAAATAACATGCTGAACTAGAAATCTAAAGAGTACCTACTCTGTTTATTATATCATAGATTTGTAAAATATCTTCTAAATTATGTGTAAATATATTACATACAATAAACCAGCTTATAAAAATGTTCACATACAAATTAATGATACTATAAAGTTTTAGATACAATATATTTATTTTTATTTTTCGTTGAAATTAAATATTTCAAGAAAATAAATTTCATGAAATTTTAAAATCTCAGTAACGATTTTGTCCCACAGCGAGGGGGGGTGGATATCGGTGTACGTCGACTACATTTCGGTCGAGTTCCACATCGCAAAGGGTGGAGTTGGCCGTGTCGATAAAGTCTCGAAGTGAGTTTTTCATTATCCTTCGTTCCGGTTAGGCAATCCGAACGCGACAAACGGCCTTGCAGTTGTTAACCGGTGCGCACGGACCGAGTGACCATTATGTTCGGTCGGTGCCGTTTAGGAAACGATTTCGACGGACTTCCTTAAAACTTGTACGATGTTGAATTATTACCAATGCTTACATGTTACGTACATGTTGATTTTAAATTCAATTGAAAAACTAACGTTTTTCCGTCGGGAACAGCGATATTATAATATGGCCGACATATAAACGTCAACGTCTCTAAAACGTGTTCAAGATAATTCGCTCAATGTAAACGCAACAACGTTATATTTTCTTGCAATATAAAACGTATTGTTTTCAAACCGGAAACCAAAAATAACTGTAAATGTAAAATTAATAAAATAATTTACTGTCGTATAAAAATGTGAGGTTTAACCCACATATAGGATTATCATGAAGTATCAAATGTTGACTATTATAAGTTCAATTATTTTGTTGCGTAAACACAAATTAAATCCGATAATGTTATTGTTGACAGACTTGTACAGATCTGAAAAATAATAAAATTGAAAAAACGTTCACAAATTATGTATAAGTAGATATGTTAAAAATCAAAGTTTAATAATAATAATAATGATAAAAAATACGAATGTATGGTATGGATAAAAACAAAACGTTCTGCTTATAAACGTAAGCCTAATACAATTTGTGTTCATCTATAATAAAATATAAAACTTGACAATACCAACATATTAAACTTATCGACTTATGTATTTATTGTTCTTATGGTCATAAATTATAACTATTATAACTAACGCGCTGTAACATTCATGCATGACCCTATATCACAGGTTTCATTCAAATTTTCACGACAATTACTCATACCATCTATACATAATACCACATATTGTAGGTACAATGTACACACACACACACACACACACACACACATAAACGATAAAACTCTGTACGAAAACGAAAAGATTTTTCTTTTGTTAGTAAACAATCGGTGTTAAACATCCCTTTACCGACGACCAATCACATCACACTACGTTTGATTATATACATGCAAGTTACTATACAGAATTTCATTTTAACACGCCGTTGAATTGACGAGCACTTACGCATAATATAATGATATACTCTTGAGTAGGAAACTGATGATACCTGACGCTGATAAACCGATTGCAAGTGCAACAAGCTAAGCAGTATATTGCTTAATATGTGATGTAATACCGAAAAAAAATGTTCGAGCAAAGAACAGCCAACATTTCCTTATTTCCAACTTTACCTTCCTATTTTTTTTTTAACATAAATTAGTCACTAGGTGACAATGTTTATCCGAACCAATAAAACGCTGTTTACTAAATTGTGTTCAAACTTTCGATTGAAATAAAAAGCGGAATTAAGTGAGACCTTCCCGAAAAGTTTAACCGAACCAATCCGATCATTTATATTTATTTGAATAACGTCTGCACGTTTAAAAACATTCGGTAATAATGCTTGCGTTGACATTTTGAAAGAAGTACGTGCAATTAAAAACAACAGTTTTATCGTTGTAAAAATGTATGAAACTTAAAAAATCGTGTCTTCAACCACTGGGTGACCAGTCAAAATAACCCCGCAAAAATATCTCCAGTCAAAATATCTCTAATCGACAATAACTTTGATATTTTTAATCGATTTTTAACTAGAGATATTTTGACTGGAGATATTTTTCCGTAGATATTTAGACCTGGGATCCTTCACCGGTCAAGATTTTTCTACGTACGAAAACACAAAAGTCGACTGAACCGATTGCCTTTCAAAGGTTAATATACATTTTATGTACAATACATTCCTAAGTCATAGCAACTAATATCTAATCGCGAGTTATTACAGAATATGTAAAATAATGTGTAGACGCATAAGATGCCTGTAGTGTAGCGGACGTTTTTTTATACGTACGATCGAAGTGCATTGCGAATGCGTATTATCTATATAATAAACCGATTGCAATAATCACGAACAATGTGAATGCTATGAATTAGCTATGTATATAAGTCATTTTATACTTATTATACTTTTTGTAATTAACTGTGTATTAACTATCTCATTACATCAGAATCAGTCGCAGTGACCACATGTTAAAGTACTTCAAGTTAAGTAATTTTTGACGTTCTCGTTATATTTTTAGTAATAAAACATACAAAGGTAAAAACTACAAACGTCTAGATACGACAGATCCAAATGGCTGCAATATGCTCTTTGTCAGTTATCACAATTTATAAAAATTCGTTATCATTTAAATTGTTCTTTAAAGACCTCAATAAATGTATAGACCATGCTCTTACCTAATATTTTAAAAATTGTTTAATAATTAATTCTAATTACAGAACAGGCAATTTATAATATTATATTTTTATAATTTTTTTTAGTTTTAATAAAACTTTTATTCATTTTAGATTATGAAATTTGACAAAAAGACTTTATTCAAAACAAACAAATTAAATTAAAATATATTTTATACATATACATGTATTATGTAATTACAGTATTGAAAATACAAACAGAAAACACATTTAATAATACAATAATTGCCTTAATTTAAATACCATATTGACCAAACACTTAAGCAACAGTTAACTCCTTGAAACCATATAAACTGTTAGTACAATAAGAACAATAAGCTATAATTCACTGAATTAATATAAAACAATGAATAATTTATTTACATATTTAGATTGGAATTAGAACTGAACAAAAAAATTAAATCGTATAAAATGACTTCTGTTTATTTATCTATTTTCATTTTTGATGAACTTCTTTATATTATATTTATTTATTGCAATTTATGCTTTAATTACTATAGCTCTAATTAATAATTAGTTCTATAGGTATGTCTATTTATGTTTTTGAATTATAGTCATATATGACGCGGTTTTTTACGAAATATCTAAAATATTATAAAATTTATAAATATATACCCACTTAGCTCTTTATAGTATTCCACCATCACCGATAAGAGGTTATCCTCTGTAATGAGATGGGCCATCTAACCATGTTATATATATAATAATTGTATCCTACTGAAATTGTATTTTTCTTTTTTGATCATTTTGCAGCCATTCGGATTTGCTGTCTCTGGACGCGTGTACAGTATTGAGCTTCTTTCTGAAAAATTACATTTTTTAACTTTATTAAGTTGTATAATATGTGTTCCACACACGAAAAATGTAATACAAGACTAATCATAAATTATTATAACATGTATAACGCACATCGTGTTAAAAAAGTTGCCGCTCTGATAGTTAATATTTCCATTAATATTCTTAAATTCGAAATTTGGTAGGTAATTAATTATTTTCGAAAACAATTACAATGATGTAAAATAAAACAGTTTTCTATTAGTAATCAAATTTCACGTGAAAAAAATCTAATAATGTTCTTTGTACAGATATTCAATATATATTTAAATTACACAGATCTGAAATCATAATTCGTTTTTTTGAATACCAACAGGCTTCCATATTTTTACGAAATTCGAGCAACACAACAAAGGGCTTATGCAATTGGAATCATATTACCGAATTTTTAACTACCAATGTGTATTACATTCGTTAATAAATAATAATTCGTAATTATTTCGTTGGGTTTATTTTAGATCGATAAATTTTCTATTGAAAAATTAAAAAAAAAAAAAACCGTAATTAAATGCATTCAGGCACTATATTCACCGGAAACAACGCGTCCAAAGTATGAACTCTATAGAGTTAGAGGTTTTTTGTCGACGGTTTTCAATCGGACACATCTCTCTCATTCATTGAATGGAGAAGTATAGCGTATATTAGCCCACAATATCGAACCTATTTGTATTTATCTAATATGCTTCAACCGTTTAAATTAATGAAGACAATCGCGTCGACGTACGAACATGCTGCGACGCTGTTCTCTACGTCTACCGTTGATTCGTCGTATGTTTGCTTAACATATTACCAAGTCGTTAAAAACAAATCTTATACCGCACCAACATGTCTGATAATAATATATGTGACGATTGTGTTCGTAGTAACGCGCGTCCGACCGATACCGCGGTATCGTTGCACTTGCGACCGATTATTCGTTTTAATAACTGCTCATTATTGGTTTGAATACACAAATACGTCGGAACACGTCAAGTCCGGCAGTCATCAAAACCGCACACTTACCATTCATAACCATACATTTTACATCGTTCAATACCGTTCATATTTATTCTATTGTTAAAAAAGGAAATTTGAAAGGTCGGTAGTTCAAAACCGCACACATTTGGATAACAGTTCCCTCTGCACACTTTGAATGTACAGTTCACGTTGCCGGTTTTGTATGAGTCCCATACAAAATCTTTTTTTTTTATCCTGGGATCTACTTGTGGTGATGTTGCATAACAAATCGGGGGGAGGGAGGGGGAATTTTTGTTTTTAACTGTCCGAGCGAGCGCAGCGAGCAAGTGACCACGCTCGGTCTCGTGATGCACTCATGTTATTTTAAATAAATGTATACGTAATTAATATATACATAAATTTGTCCGGTATTGAACGGTTTAATTTGGCGAAAATATGTGGGATTAAGATATAAAAGCGTGCGGTTTTGAACGACGACCTGTTTTTTGAAAGTGTGCAGTTATGAACGACGCCCGTCAAGTCGAGTACACGTCGCGTATAATGTTAGGGTTCGAGATTTATTTTCAGCATTAAACGTATGAAAAAAACTTTTTATTGCTATTATTTTTATCGTATTATTACCACTACGGTCTTATATGTGGTATACTACGTTATACTATGTTTAACCGCAGTGTTCCGAATGCAACTCGAACTTTTCGCACGCAATTCATCGTACGCGACGGACAACTCGCATGCTTCGATCGACGAATGATTTCAATACTGTTCCGTTTGCGCGCGCCGCTTTTGTCGCGTAAAGAACGTTCAACAGCAATGACGAAACAATATGTATACGTTACGTGCTGATAATTGTACATCGTAATATGATAATCGTTCGTTGAAGTGGTCGGCCGAGAACAAAAAGGTTGGACATCACGTGTATAGTGTGCAGGGGTGTATTGGTACGTATACGTGGGTATAAAACATTATAAATATGTAGGTGCAAAGGGTTAATTATAATATTTCGAACGTTTCGAGGGATAAATAATTCTCGAGCGCAGCGAAAAAATTTATTTTAGTATCCATATTTTTTAATGCGTACACCTGCAAATATACCGAATATTTACCAATACACCATGGTGTACAATGTGCAACGTACTGTTCCGCCTCGAAAAGTATAAATAAAAACGGTGTAACATTGTAATCGAGTGGCAGCAAATAACTACGTTTTATGCACCTCGTGCCGTGGCAAAATCAATTTTAATTTATAACAATAATACGTCTGTGCGGACTGAGCGCGATAAGCAAACGCGTTACACGACATGTATTACATGACTTCTAAAAAGTCACCAGTATTGTTGAGCACGCAGTTTAACTATTATGACGGTATTACCATTGATTAATTAATGGTATTGAGTGTAACGTGTGTGGAAGGGACGGAGGTAACGCAAGTAAGTTTGTACAGTAAAAAACTTCGAGAGACTTATTTCTGTGGCGATCGTATGGAGTGACGATAGCGGCATGTAAATAATGACTCAATAAGCTTTGAGCGTGTAATCCACCGACTAACTTCGAATCGCCGTTATAATAATAACGTAAGCGTTGCAATATTTAAAGAAGACGCAGCAGCTATGGTTTCCTATTATGATGTGCAGTTATTGAGTACATAATACAGTTTAATTATCCTTTTTACTAAGTCTCTTTTTCTCTGCAGACTATTAAATACATATATATGCTGAGTTTTAAAACAGTTGGTAGTACATTTAAAAACTAAAGAAACAAAACAAAACGAATTTAAATATGTACGTGCACGCGATGCCCACTCCCTTTTTATAATAGATATTATTATATAGAATGGTATTTAAACGATGAAAAATTTTAAAAATGTGCACCACTGCAGTAATTACACTGATAACTTGACGTAATATTAAAACGTGAACCATACGTATTAAACATACACAGAATGGGCCATGATAAACGGACAGATTTGGATCAGCTAACCAGTGATAAAGAGATTAAGGGTGGCAAAGAGAGTGGGTCTGAAACCGACGGTATCGGTAGCTCAATGTAGTTGGCAACATGGTTTTCAAATCAGCAAACAGTTATGGTGACGTATGATCGTATAAATCACGATTATCATCAAGCGCTGTGTATCCGCGGAATAGAATCAGTTTTTGAATTTTCTTTTTTCCTCTTCCAAATCCATCTGTATCTTATGGCATACCCTGTACATTGAATAATATGTTAATACAGTGGGTCCAATGTTTGTTATCATTACAATATATTATATTATCCACCAACAGTCTTGCGCGAATACGTCAGTGGTCAGTAATTGTAAACACGATCGACCGGTCGACGGATTTCGCGTAAGTCTCAGTCACGGTCAAGCGAAAAAACTGACAACTTTAACCCGTTTAGAAACAGAACGGAAAAAAACTTCTTCGTCCGTGAATCAGCGTTGTCACGAAAGCAAAATTATTTGTGTACGTAACGGAAAGTTGTTGCGGTAGGTAAAGCAATTCATAGAGTTTGACCTACTGCAACGCGTAACTCGTAATACGATTACACCACTGCTCCGGTGCGATGTATACAACACACACACACACACACACACGCGCGCGCGCGCGCGCGAGCACACACTCGCATACAGACACACATTTATATTTATATACCGCGGCTAATGCGCGCGTGCAGTCAAAACGGTTCGATTTTTCGAAAGACGGATAGGATTTTTTAAAATATACACTCGTTTTAATCGTTGCGACGCACGACCGACGTAGAACGAAGACGGTTTTAAAACGAAAGGGTTAACGCGATGCTGTCGCGGAACTCTACACGTGCGCGGTATATGTGTATATGCACACATATTATATTATTAATACTGCAGTGGTAATGATCCTTGAAGACCTTGAGACGTGTTCCGACGCACTGTACTTCGTGAGCGCATGAGAATATAATATTAATAATGGGATCGACGCGTTGGCTACCGCTCATCGACCCTAAGGATTCCTAGTAACACTGCAGTAATAACGATGAAAAAATTATTTTCATGTTTGTGCACGCACGCACACACGCACACACACGCATGCACGCACGCACACCAAACTAACATATAGTATATACGTCGTCTGCGCACGTAAAAAACGAATCTATATACGCGAAGGTCATCGCGGTTTGCAGCTGCTGGTGTTGCTGCTCCGGAAGAGGAGGGCCGACATTTAAATATATATATATATAGGGTGTCTCAAAAACGACGCAGGATCTGCTACAAGTTACACTGTTACGATTCAAGAGAAACAATCACTCTGCTGCGTGAGAAGTTCCTGGACAAACTAATCTCGTTGCGTGGAGACCAAAACTACCCATTTCGATTTTGCAACTTGATGCCGGGTGTAATTTTTCTTATGGGGACACACTAAGTCACGAGTTTACCAGAACAAATTTCGAAACGTATCGGAACCTAAACAAGAAATTCCTCGCGTCCTCAACGAACTTGATGGGACAATGTGTGATCGAGTCATGATACATTTTATGAAAATAATAATCGCCTGTAGGTCATCTATATAGTAGGCACGGTCATATGCCCGATATTATTTTTCACTGTTAAACTTTAATCTCTCCTGAAGAGAATGATATATTTGTTACGTTTTTTTTAAAAAAAAATAAATTTAATTTATAGCTGAAGTATATCCTGCGTTGTTTTTGAAACACCCTATATATACATATAAGATATATGTGATTCGTGTGCGTATACGTACCGTGTATAACATAATATTCGAGAGAACTCTCGTTTTTCCTCTCTTCCTGCTCCTTTTCTAACACGACCACTCGTGCAATTCCATATGGTTTTTAATATTCATGGCTCCCCTATACAACACACACGCACACACACACACACACACACACACACACACCTCACCGGTAGTCCTTCATGAAGTATTTAGGTTAGCAATGAACGTAGACGCGCCACCACGCGGTGGTACATATAAACCGAATTCGCTCAGACTTATTTTTCCCTCTCTTTCTCTCTGCCAA